CTCTCTCTCTCTCTCTCTCTATATATATAAAGTTATATATGTGTGCTCTATATATATATATATATGTGTTATATATATGACACACATATACATATATATATATATATATATATATTCTTCACACTGTTGCTATCTATTATCATAACATGTTTTGAATTACATTGCGATTTTGAACACATTTATCTAAGGGCATATGTAAACTTGTTATGTACTACGAAAATTGTAATTCATACGTAGGTCATAAGAAACTAGATTAAGTTTAAATTTTTTTATGATATTCCTATATATGGAATTTATCGAAAATAAATTTTCTATAAAAAATCTTTTCTTATTTTTAATTGAGAAAGATAGAGATTGGATTAAATTTATTTAAATTGCATAAAAATAATTAGAATAAGAATATTTTTAAATGTAATGTAAAAGAGATTATTGTATATTGTTCTCTTAAAGTATATTGGGTGTTTAAAATAAAGCGTTACAAACTTTTATCTCGGAAACAAAGTATTTTAGAGAAAAATGTTTTATACAAATTCAAAAATTTTTAACATGTTTAAATGTTTCATACAAAGTCTTTGAGGGGGACATGAGATGATACTGGTTTGAATTTGGGTAGTGGTGTCAAGATCAGAGCAAGGTCACATAGAATTTTTTGAATGAGATTTTTTATTACATATTGTATGTTATGTATTCTCTTCGAGAATTTTTAAAACATTAATAAAATATTTTTTCTTTAAATACTCTCTTTTTGAGTTATACAGTTTAAGAAAGTTATAATATCGCTAGTATATTTGTAGCATTACCTAAGGTATGGCTGTAATCACTATAGCTTACGGTTGCTGGTTGTCGGTTCTTTAACCAATCATGATGCAGCAAATGCAGGTTAGCTGCAACATAATTGGTAAAAATAGAATCGACAACCAGCAACCGTAACCGGTAACCTGTAATGTGATTACGGCTTATCCGACTGACGGCTAAAGCCTCTTGAATGTTGTTCAGAATTATGACTTTGATAACATTTGTCAAAATCAAGGCCATTGAATATTGTTTTCTTTTTCATTTTTACCTAAAAACACGAAGAGAACGCTCCAGTAATCTTGTCGGCTGGACACCTTGTAGATAATGCTAATGTCGGTAGTACTATAACTTTCAAGCTATATATCTCGAAAAATACTTAATGAAAAAATATTATAGTGTTTTGTAAAGCTCTCTCGAGATAAGCTACGAGAATATGTAGATAATAATAAATAGGCAGTCTCATTCAAAAAATTCTATGTGATCTTGCTCTGACTTTGACATCGCCCAAGTTCAAACCAATGGCTGCGTTCAGCAGAGAAAGCAACTTTGCAATTGTTGTAAAATTCTTTAATATAATTGGTTCTTTATGGATTTCGTTCTTTATGGATTTAAATGTATAAACCAACCTTATTGAAGAATTTGCTTTGTTTCTGAGATAAAAATTTGTAATGCTTTATTTTGAACACTCGGTATGTGTGTGTACACACGCGCGCGCGCGTATATATACATATGTATAAATAATAAAATATCTCAATAATGCAAACTGTTAGTTATTGATCGATTCTAATCGCTCTGCAAGATAACAGCGTCTACAATACTTGCTTTAATGGATTCAAATAGATATTTCTAGCTTGATGGTAATAGATAATGCAAATTTCATTAATTTCCATTACATTTCTGTTTTTAATGTCGAATAGATGTTACAAATCTTAATAAATTATAAACAAATCTTAATTTTTTTTTACATTATAATCATTTTTAATGTAATTTATTTTATAGCGTTTTTTATTCGCAGAACTAGTGTGCACTCAGTGCACATTAAGACTGTTACATACATACATACATTCGCTGAACATACATTCGCTGAAAGCGACTAAAGGTTGTAACAGATTTTTTTCTAAGGTTTTCGAAATGCAGCCTATTCACCGAGCGATGAGTCCTTATCTACGGATCCATAAGTAAGAATCGCTCGATGAACAGACTGCTTTCCGAAACCCATTAAAAAAAGTGTTGCAACCTTTTAATCAATGAGTATACACTATTCTAATCTAAATATAGAATTACTGGCATCTTATGGAGCCAAAAAAAAAACGGAACGGAACTGCGCTGACCAATTGCCACTCTGCAGTCATTACTCTGCTTTCTTTTCTGCGATTGTGATTTGGCAGTTCCGCTGTAAATTTCCGCTCTAGACTCCAGCCTCGTTCTAAATGAGATATCTCAATTGAGGAAATACCCAACGTGTATTTGATCAATTATTATTATTATTATTATTAGGCGTTAGGAACTCGAAAGCTCATTCTCTATTTGATCAATTAGCACAATAAAAATGTATTGAATACGTCACAGTTTTTGTTTCTACAATTTTATTGTATTATATATAAACGTATATTTTTATATCAATTTGTATACAACGACTTTAAAGTGCACTGAGTGCACACTAGTTCTGTCAATGAAAAACGCAATTAAATATTCTATAATTATTTGTGATTATGGAAAAATTGCGTTTTTAGTAAACTGATTTTATAAAAAATTATTATCTAATTACAAATAATATATTATATAAAGCCACTTACTTTTACTACTTTGATAGGTTTAATAGCAAAATGAAACTAGGTAAATATTAAGAAAAGGAGAATCAATGATCTTGATCTTAACACATGTGTCATGATCATCATCCTGAGTGACTTCCAAGAAGTTTCAGTTGACGGTCGATATTTGTTAAGAAGTTATTAACAAAAAAAGTTTTAAAAACGTTTTATTTCTACTATAACATTCAAAACTACAATATTAAGAACTATCCCACATCCTCTCCATATTGCGTAATGATTTTCCACGTGAAGCAAGGTAATAGCACCATTCTTCCCGCTTAGGAGGGGGAAGAGGGATTTTAATTTTTCATACAAATGAATTTTGTTTTGCGTGAAAAATTGAACGCACCTAAGCAGGGGTGGTACTCAGTTGGTAACACTAAAGGATCCTCTAGAAGTCGTAGACAGTAGTGGATTAAGTAGGCATAGAAAATCGACCAATCATAGTTGAATATAAGAAAAATAATCAACTATGTTTGATCGATTTCTACGCCTAATCAACCAACTACTGTTACTGCCCATTGTAGACCATGCATTAAAGGATCCTCTACATAGAAGTCGTAGATAATGGAGTCTTAAGTCGTAGAAAATTAACCAATCACAGTAAATGGTTAATTTTCTACAATTCTTAATGGATATTCTAGAATGTGCTTTTTATTTTCTGTTTCTTGGTTTTTGCTATTTTTTACATCTTGTCTTTTTGCTTCTTATCCGGTTTTTATATCGCCCGAGATAAAAATTAACGAACTTCAGAAGAACAGGAAACACGCATAACAAGAAATACAATTATCGATAAAATGATTACAAAGGGGGAAAAAGCAAGAGGCAGAAAGCAGAAACAGAAAACAAAGGCCGGTATTCATTGTCAGATCTTATATTCAACTTTCTTAAGAAGTTACGAACCAATCAGAGGGTTATATTAGTGAAATTAAGACATTACTTAAGACGATCTTGAAATAAAAATCGACTATGAATATCAAAAGAGCACATTGTAGAATAGGTTTAAGACTCTACGACCGCTACGACTTCTATTGTAGATTCTGCATAAGGGTTCGAAGGTGGAATTCCCGCTTCGCGTGAAAAGTTCTTTAACTATATAACATAGACTAACATGCTAACAGCAACTTCAGATTCATAGTTATCCCATGCAACAGAAAGAGAGATGTACAGGATGCATCAGGTATTTGAGGATACTCACATGTGCCTGCCAAGTTTTCGCAGTAAGTTTTTTTATTTTATTTTTTTTCAGATCATAAATGGAGAACAATAAGTTGACTCATAAAATGAAAAGACACGTTATTATCGTCGCTATACACGCGAATTACAGTGATCTTGAAATCTCCCAATTTTTGAAAGTCGCCCGATCGTTTGTTTACAAAGTTCGTCAAGAGTTAGAAGCATCTGATGGTAATGTAGAAAGTGTTGCCAAGCGTAAAAAACATGAGGCACGTTCAGACAGAGTTAGAACATCACACTTTGTGCAGCAAATCCAAGGTATTATTGATGAAGACCCTTTAAAGTCCATATCGAGAGACCTTGTAAGTTTCTGACTACACAATCCGTCGCATTGTCCACGAAAACATCCGGTACAAGTTCTACGTGATGCGCAAAAGTCAGTTTATGTCGGCACAAACTTAAAAACAGCGATTCATCCGGGCACAACGACTTTTAAACAAGTTAAAACATCCTGAAATCCCGGATATGCTCTGGTTTTATTCTGATGAAAAAAATTTGACCAGGATCAAAAAATAAACTGACGAAATGATAGGTGGCTATGTGATGATCCTTCAGATATTTCTCATGTTGTGCACACAAAGTTTCCGGAAACTGTCATGGTTTTGGGAGTGGAGAGTAATGAAGGACACCTCACTTCTTTCCTCAAGAACTTCGGGTGAATGCTGCTGCCTACATTGAAGTTTTGGAAGCAGTTGTGAACCCTGGATAGCGTGCGTGGTGAGATACGTATTCCAACAGGACTCTGCTCCTTCACACAAAGTCGTGACGATGCAAGATTGTCCGAGAATCTGCATGATCACATAACCCTAAACATGTGGTCCCCGGATCTTAATCCTTTGGATTACGTATAGAGCGTTGTTGAACAGGAGATCAATAAACATCCCCATAACACGCTTGATTCCTTAAGAGCAGCTATTACCCAGAGTAATGACACATATGAACGAAGATCATTTGATTCGGGCATACAAACGTTTCCGGCAGAGAATTGAAGCTGTTATTGCCGCTGAAGGCGATTTTATCGATTAATTGTAT